TTCAAAAGATAGAATACACAGAGAGAATTGCCTTTCTCTCTCTCTCTCTATGTGTATTAACAGTATATGCTTCCTATAAATATATGTTTTCGAATCGGCGTTAATTCGGGATCAGTTGTGTGTTGCGTTAATAATCAGCTGAATTATATTTTTATTGTGCGTTGCGCGCGAGCATGGAGAAGAGAAAGAAAAGAAAGAAAAGAAAGAAAGAAAAGAAAGAAGAGACATAGAGAATTGCCTTTCTCTATCTCTCTCTATGTGTGTATCAACAAGTGTGTCCTTTCTCTATCTCTCTCAGTGTGTATACGAAAATAAAACAGCACTCTATTTCTTAATGAAATGAATAACATTTGAAATTTGAGAACTATTTTATGTTTGATCCCTTTATTTTTTCTAACTTTTATTTGACTCAGTTGTAAGTTTCATTTTAATAAGAACAGTTAAAAAGAAAGAAAAAATTTTTATTGTGACAACATGAACGGTTTTGGTTATTTTGAAATTCGTCGTTATAAATTTAGTGATTTTATCGATCGGTTGGAAAAAGCTGAACAAAATTATTGTTGTCAATTTAAACGGGTTGATGCCATAGAATGGGCTAATCGGATAGACTTTAACAATCGTGAAGATAAAGAACCGTCTAAAATACATTTGGCAATGAGTAGCACGCTCGAGCGAATTGCTAATGTAATGAAAGAATATCGTAGATCTTTAACCCTGAGGACTTGCATCGAATTCTTATTGCAGGAGAAGCAGTACTATATTGGTGAAAAAGAAGAAAGATATTATAGTGAACTAGAATTCGGATATCTACGACTTTGTTTATTGAAGACGCTTTGCGATTGCTCACCACATTATCGAAGTTGCCGATATTTGAATTAAAACAACAGTAAAACGACAAGCGAACGACAATTGAACGATAAGAAAAGGAGAAGTGACCAACAAGAAAAGAAGAAGAAGCGAACAACAAGAGATGGTTTCAACAGGTGTTACAATATGATGATGTTCAAGAACAGAGCTGAAAAAAATAGCTGAAAAAAAAATAGCTGAAAAATAAAATGTGTAACAAAAAAAAAAAAAAGACGGATGGTTTTTTTTTTTGATTTTTATAAATTCAAATGAGAATAAATTTTATTCACAAAAAGAATACAAATTAAATTGATCTTTTAAATGTCGTAGCCACATTCAATGACATATTCATATGTTTCAGCGTTAAATCCTTTTCTGATAAGCTCGTTTTCAGACTTGTTGAAAATTATGTGAATTGTGTCACCTGGCCACAGCTTAACCGAGTCCGTTGCGATTGAAGAATTGTTGACAAAAACTCCATATTGCGATGTGTCAATTAGGTTCACATTGTACCCGTCAACAACAATTGAACAATGTTCCAGATCGCTCAAAATGGAATCGATACGTATGTCCGATCCTGCTGCTCTTCCAAATTTCGTAATTCCGTTTTTCAATGGTATTAATCGATGATTGGCGTTCGAGTTGATTCGGGTTAAAAACCACTTGGTGTATCCAGATCCACTCATTTTTTCTTTCTTTCTTTTCTTTTAATAAAAAAACTTGAAACCGTTCGGTAGTCGATGTTATTAATAACTAACGAAAACACAAACTTTGAAAATGAAATGAGCATACGTGCAGCCGTTTTTTTATTCCTCAATTTGTATGTGTGTATACATGTGAAAAAAAAAAAAAAGGGACGATAGAAAGAATGAGGAATAGAGTGGGTGGGCGGGTACTTCAAAATTAGACGTCATACATTCAGCGATTTTATTAGATGTCTGTCTGTGTGCTTTTATTTACATTGCGTGTGAGCGGTCAATGTGTTTTTGTTTGTTTGGAAAAACAATGCAATTTAGTTATAATTTTTATTTTAACAAAAGCAGTTGATTTTTTTACGTCATCATGAGCGATCACTTGGATTACTGGGATTTTCCACAATTTAACTTTGGAGTTTTTATCGAGCGGTTGGAAGAAGCAGCTATAGAAAGATGTTGTGGAGAAAAAGAAGTTCGTGCAAGAGAATGGGCACGTTTAGTGAAAACGAGAATAAGACGGTGCAGAACAAGTGTTGAATTATTAACAACATATGTTACAAGCGTGCACATCCTCAGCATATTAAAGGAAATGAGTGGAATGGTGACCTTAAGCAATTTGATTGATTGCTTAAAGGAACAGCAGCAGCGCTTCATTGGTGTGGGACTATATAGTGAAACGGATTTTGGTATTCTCGACTGTATCGTGACGGATTCCCTTTGTGAATGTACACCAAAACATCCATATGGTGTCGGCGTATACCGCTGATTTGAGATAAGCTAAAAAATAATCAATTGTTTAACCATGGAAGCAATGGGTGGAAATAAAGAATTGAATTGAATCTCAAAGAATAAAATTGAAAAAAAACTGTGTTTTCTTTGTTTTTTTTTTTTGTTTTATTTGTTTCTACTTTACAGCATTGAGACAATCGATTTTTTTCTTTTAGATCAACAATAGGTGAAATGAAATATCAGCACCGATTCGAGGCATTAGGTAATTTTCATTTGGTAAACAAACGATTCTATTTTCAACGAATTAGAAATAGATAGCTATGTGACGCAAACAAGAATGTTCTCTCTCTCCTCCCTATGTATTTTCCCTGAATGATGAAATGAATGAATGAATGAATGAACGAATGAATGAAAACGAAAGATAGAAAATTGAGCACAAGCATGACGACGACCTTGGCAGATGTGTGTGTGTTGCGCGTTAAATTGTGTGTTTTATGTATTGGGCGAATGTTGAATGAGCGAAAAGAAAGAAAGAAAGAAGAGAAATGGAAACATGAAAAAGCACAAAATGTTTTGTTTACATTTGAGAGAAACTTTATTTATTCATTGAGAACATTTTTTATATGATTTATTATTCATGAAAACGTGCAGGAATTTTATGCAGGAATTTTGTTGTGAAATTATGTGCTGGAATTTTTTTACGCTGGCTGGCTGGCTCTCAATCGCCTAATCATAAAAACGATCGAAGAGCTCATCAGGAATTTTATTTTGGCTCTCAATCGCCATGGTGACTTCGCGCATCTCACGATTTATTTGCTCTTCCGTCTTGATTTTGACGTCCCAAGCACTGCAAATGTATATAATTACAAAAATTTTATTAGCAAATGAGAAAAAAAAAAAAAAACAATGAATAAATGAAAAATATTCTTATAATTATATACACTTACTTGCTTCCTGCGCGTTTTCCGCCAAAGTATAAGAATTTCTTTATGCCATTGGTGTTGACCTGCTCCACCAATGAATCGCCATCCTCTCCTTGAAATTTAGCGGCAAAGTACTCTGGTAAGAAGAGTACCTGATCTTTCAATTCCACCAATAAAACTCGCTTCAATTTTGGCTTCTCGTCTGTCGCCTTATATTGTTTGTTCTTCACCAACCGAAAACAAACAATCTCATGATGTCCAGAATTTAATTTTGAGAAGCCAAAGTATGGCTTGCTTTGATTGACGCCAGTTAAAAAATCCATATTTTCACTCTTTTCACTCTTTTCACTTTTTTCAAAACGAAGAAAAAAACGTTTTCTCTTTACAGAAAATGAAAACAAATATTTCGAACTTGGAAAAAAACAAACTGTTTCAATCGGCAGTAGAAATAAGAATGAAAATTATTTTTCTTGATTCAATCCACGTTAGTATAAACAACAAAATAAAGCTTAGGTAGAGAGGAGAAGTGGGAGAAAATATAATATATTTTCAAGCGTATATTGGACTGTTTTATGCTAACTGAGGTTAATGAAGAGATTTCACGGGGGCGTAACAATTTCTAATTGAATTGTTTTTCATTGTGATTTGTTTTGTTTAATGGTGATTTGACCGTTGGCTTAAATTAAATGTGAGAAAATGCAAATGAGTATATTTTATTTTTGATCGGCTCACTGCCATTGAATTGTTTTCTATTGTTGATTCAAATGAATTAAGTCATAAATTAAAAGTTAATGCTAATTGAATTGGATATGGGAGAAAAGTAGAAAAGAAAAGATTATGTGGTTTGATTTGAATATGCGGTTTGATTTGAATTCCAGATTAAAATTCGGCTATATTTAAATGATTCTAACGAGGAAAAAAAAAAAAAAGAGCATATTTTGAATAATGCAATTTACGGAAGCGTAACAATTTCAAATTGAATTGTTTTCATTGTGTTTTTGTTTTACGGTGATTTGACCGTTGGCTTAAATTAAATGTGAGAAAAATGCAACGGCTTGTTCCATATGAACTCAAGTTATAAAATCAAAATGTTATGCTAACTGATTTTTGGAATACAGATTGAAATTCGGCTATATTAAAAATGGTTCTAACAAGAGCGCTCACTTCTGAGATTGATTCAGTCTGAAAGAAACTCTCGAGCTGATTTGATCTGATTTGAGCTGATTTAAGGTGACTATCAAAAACAAATAACAGAAAAAAAAAAGAAGCTTAAAATGGAAAACATCAACAAACGTGTGGAATTGGAAGTGTGTGAAAGTGCATTCAATAAGCGATTGCGTACTTTTAATATCGTGAATAAAGTGGCGCGTGTTGATATTGAAGAATTTTTGTGGGATGCGTTTGATATTTATAAAAGTGAAATATCAAGCATTCATGAATTACATAATATGGTGAAATCATCGACAACTCTTGTAGCTGAATTTGAAAAGAAAATACTGAACGCGAATGAAAAAAATGTACCTGGTCCTAGTACTAGTACTAGTGCAAGTGAAAGTAATACGACTGAGGAGACAATAAAGCAGACTTTATATTTTACATCGCGGACTGTAACGATTGCTTTGGGTGTGGATTGGAGACAACATTTTAAACAATATGTAATTGATGAGCTAAAAGAAAGCGTTGAAAATACGGCAATTCAAGGTTCTGGATTTACGCTGGCTCAAATTATCAAATTAAATGTTCAAGTTTCTTCACTAAAACCACTGAACGGCGGATCATATTTCGAAGCCCCTAAAAAATTAATGAGGAGAGGAGCAATTATCAACGTCAAAAATAACGATAATATGTGCTTCAAATGGGCTATTTTATCTTGCCTTCATAATGATAAAGTGAATCATATGCCAAATCGAGTCAACCATTATATACCATATGAAAATGAGCTAAATTTCAATAATATTGATTTTCCGGTTTGTTTAAAAGACATCGATAAATTTGAACAACAGAACGAGAATATATCCATCAATGTGTACCATTATGATGACCGTACAGATCTTGTATCTACACTGCGAGTGAGCAACAATGTAAAAGAGAAACATATTCATTTGCTCATGTTAACTAACAGCAGTCGCGTCAATACTGATGGTGCTACGTCAACCGCAGGAAAAGTTAAAATAATGCTCGAGAGTAATCAAGTTAAAACTCATTATTGTTGGATTAAGAGTTTAAATCGATTAATTGACCATCAACTAAATAATCACCAGCACAAGTATTTCATTTGCGATCGCTGTTTAAATTACTTTGAAGAAAAGAAAGATTTAGAGCGTCACTATGGAAAGTGTCAGAATGAGTGTCACATTGAAATGCCTACTAAAGATAATAATATAATTAAATTTGAAAATCATCAAAAGCAATTGAAAGCACCATTTATAATTTACGCCGATACTGAGGCATATCTAAAGCAACTCAGCGAAGAAGAGAGAAACCGTGTGTTCAGCGAAACGTCTTCAACAGTCGCATATCAAGAGCATAAAGTCTATAGTGTTGGATATTATTTCAAGTGTGAATACGATGACTCACTATCACACTATAAAACCAGCGGGATCAAAGCCAATTGCATTGAGTGGTTTATCAATGAACTCCATTGTATCGCAAACTTTGTCGAAAAGCAGCTAAATAAAAATGAACCTATGAAAGAAATGGATTGGGATGAAGCATTTATATTTTCGGATCCGGAAAGTGTTTGTTCGATATGTGGATTGCAATTCAATCCGAGTGAAACGCGGGTCCGTGATCATTGTCATTTCACAGGGAAATTCAGAGGGCCAGCTCACGTTAACTGCAATTTGAAATATAAAGAGAGTCGAGAAATTCCAATAATCATGCATAATTTATCTGGTTACGATGCCCACTTATTCATTAAGCAATTAGCAACGCAAATGGAAGGCGATGTAAATATAATCCCAAACAATTCTGAGCAGTACATTTCATTTTCAAAAGTCGTTGATGATGGAATTAAGCAGCGATCGGAGCGTAAAGATAAGATCAAACTAAAATTTTTGGATAGCTGCCGTTTCATGCATGAGAGTCTAGCTCAATTAGCTTCGTTGATTCCAACTGAAAAGAAATGTATTCTATACAAAGAATTTCGAAAGGAATATTCACCGGAACTGTTGTGTATGCTTGAACGTAAAGGTGTTTTCCCATACGATTATGTGGATAGTTTTCAGCGATTAAAAGAAACAGCATTACCATGGAAAGAACAGTTTTACAGCAAGCTTTACAATGAACATATTGACGATGATGAATATGATTTTGCTCGAGAAATTTGGAACAAATTCGGAATAAAAACACTTGGTGAATATTCTGAATTATACTTAAAAACTGACGTACTATTGCTGGCTGATGTGTTTGAAAACTTTCGAGATATGTGCCATGAAATCTACAATCTTGATCCGGCACATTATTACACCGCACCTGGGCTTTCTTTTGATGCCATGCTGAAATATACAAAAGTTAATATTGAGCTATTAACCGATATTGATATGCTGCTTTTCGTTGAGCGTGGAATTCGAGGTGGGATAACACAATGCAACAAACGATATGTCGAAGCCAATAATAAGTATATGAAGGAAGGCTATGACCCCAGCAAGAAAACCAATTACTTGATGTATTTGGATGGTGAGTTTATTCTTTTGTTTGTTTATTTTTATCAAGTCATTTATCTATTTTTTTTTTTCTTTTCTTTTCAATTTGTCAGCAAATAACCTGTATGGATATGCGATGTGTCAGCCGCTACCGATTGGTGAATATAAATGGGCCGACTTTGATTTGAGCAATATTGAGAATATGAAGAAGATCATAGAAGATTTACCAGATGATTCGGATACTGGGTATATATTTGAAGTCGATTTGGATTATCCGGACTATATTCATAATGAGCATAACGATTTTCCATTTTGTGCTGAAAGAATGAAGCTGCCGCAGCAGGCTTTTGATATTTTAAAAGATAGGGCTAGTAAATATCCCAAGTTATTGCTTACTCTTAATGATAAGAAAAATTATGTTATACACTATGGAATGCTTAAACTGGCATTGCGTCATGGTCTCATATTAAAAAAAGTTCATCGTATATTACAATTTAGGCAAAGTCGTTGGTTAAAGCCATATATTGATTTAAATACCAAACATAGAACAAAGGCAAGAAATGAATTTGAAAAATCTTTTTTTAAATTGTTAAATAACGCCATCTTTGGTAAAACGATGGAAAATGTGAGGTCGCGCGTCGATATAAAGCTTGCAAACAAGTGGGATAGAAAAACTGGTGCTCGAATGTTAATTTCGAAACCAAATTTCAAAAGATTTATTATATTTGATGAAGAATTGGTAGCCATAGAATTAAATAGAACGCGTATCGTAATGAATAAGCCAATTATTATAGGCATGTGCGTATTGGATATATCAAAGATAACAATGTATTCATTTCTATACGATTATTTAAAGCCTAAATATGGCGATAAATGTGTTTTGTGCTACACCGATACAGATGCTTTTATTCTGGACGTGGAAACCGAAGATTTTTATAAAGACATGCGTGAAAATATCGAGAGATTTGATACATCCGATTATCCATGGCCGAATGATTATGGCATTGAGTTAAAGAATAAAAAAATTCCGGGTCTTTTTAAAGACGAGTTGAATGGGAGAATAATGCAAATTCTTGCTGCCATTCGAGCGAAAAGCTATGCTACTTGTTCGCTAGATAAAAAAGCATTCAGTAAAAAAGACGAGAAAAAAGAACCCGAAGAAAAAAGAAGAAAACTTGCACCATGCGGCAGATATTACAATGTAGATATGAAAAAATCGAAGGGCGTAAAGAAATATGTTGTTCAGAACACAATCACATTTGAAGATTATGTTAATTGCGTTTTAAACAAAAGTATGTTGAAAGCAAAACAAAATACTATTCGTTCACTCAAGCATGATATGTTTACCATTATGCAGGAGAAACTTGCTCTCAATCCATTCGATGAGAAACGATTTATTCAAAATGATGGGATCACAACATTAGCATGGGGACATTATTTGATAGATTTTTTTTTGAAGAAGCAGCACACAAGATGTATCAATAGGAAAATAGAAAACCCATAGTTCATTAACGATGTATTGAGTAAAAATAAGATTCCTATATATATATAAGGTGGAGGGAAATTATATAATAGATTTTTATTGAAATAAAACAAGAGAATTATATTCAAAATAAAATGAACAAAAAAAAAAAAATGTGTGTGTTTTATTTATTTGATTTTTCTTTTAGATTTCATTGAAAAATTTATAGCATTTCACTTCTAATCTTCATTAATATTTTGCCCAACAGATTCATTCCAGTCTTTTTATGCTTAGTGCATCCGCAAACGCCCCAATAAGTGTCATGCCAGTAGTTTTGGTTAATCAGTTGTTTGTTGCCGGTTTTGATTAGTTTTTTTCTCAACTTTGGATGACGAAGAAATTTCAGCTCATTTCCGTGCGACATTGCTCGCATTTTCTCAACATCCCAATAAGGTCTCGGCTTAATGAATTTCCCAAGAATTTTAGCTGCTTTCGGTGTTGTAACGTTACGCATTTTTTCTTTATCACTTTTTTCGGCGCACCTCGCAGTTTGATAAATGTGTTCAACGCTGTTGTAAACATATTTTTGATACTTGATGTCCGATAAATATAAAGTGGATAGAAAAAAGTATTTGCCGCGAAAGATTGAGATTTCGCCCGATGTCTTATCCATTTCCTCTTTCGTAGTCAGCTTCTTCATCGCTTGATTCACTTTCAGTTTCTCCATCTCCTGATTCACTTTCTCTATCTCCATCTCCTGTACCATATCCACTTGCTCCATCTTCTATTTCCAATCCAATAAAATTAGCAGCAAAATCAATCCCATGAAAATCGAGAATAAGGTGATTTGATATGTCTTTTCCACCGTAACTCATAAACACTATCAAGTCATTCAGTTCATCTATTTCGTCGTTATTTAATGGACACCGACCCGGTAAAAACAAACAATACTCGAACAATTGAATGCGTAATCTCCATACACCGTATGGCTTTCTATATGCCATAAACTTGTGTACAATATATTTGCCAGGAGGTAAAATGTTAAAACCACAAATGGTTTTCTTTTTTGAACAAACTGATTTTAATTTTTCAAGCGCGTTCATCTAATGATGTTTATAGTTTCGTAAATAAAACACAACTAAGTTTGTTTGAGTAGATATAAAATTATTTATTCCAAAAAGAAAGAAAAAAAAATAGAGAGAATTACAAAGAAGGTGGAGTTAATGTGAAAAATGTATTAATTTATTCTAAATTATGTCTTTTTCGGGCGTCCATGAATTGTGTTCCGGTCCGAAACCAAGCCATTTTACATATGCCAGCCCATTGCGTCTACGGATTATCTTTTCAACTAGGTAAACATCTGGTTGCATAACTAATTGCAGCTCTTCGGCATAAATGGATCCCTTAATGTCTTGGTTTTGATAGTCTTTGAGTAGATATGTAATTGGATCTGTATTATATTGGACTTTTCTTATTTGAAAAATTTCTGTCGTCCAATTTGGTGTATAGCCCTTCTCGAATACCGTTCTATATTTACTTAATCTAACGTAGTCGCCGACTTTAAACGTTGCGCTTCGCCGTTTTAGTTTCTTTTTTCGACGACGATTAACGCTATTCAATGAAACTGTTGACGCTGCTCCCGATAATGGCACCAAACGTTGATAGTTGTAAACGCTATCGCGCAATTTCTGTTCGTTACGAGAATTCACTTCGTTGGGCTTCATGCGTATCGTTCTATGCCTAAATTATTTTTTTTTTTGTGTTAGCATGTGATGGAAAGAAATGATATATATATTAACAAACTCATTTAAAATTCCATTCATAATGAGCATTTTTGAAGAAAAAAAAATTACCATGTATCGTTATAGCTTTCAATTACTTTCTGTAAGATTTTAAGCCATTGATAATTTCCCTGCAGGCTGAACTGTATGTACAGTCGTCGTTTTATTGTACGAATCAGGCGCTCAACCACACAAGCCTTAAGAAGGCTAAATGTTGAATAGTGATTTATATTATATTTTTGAAGTAGCTGCCTCATATGCTTAGAGTAAAATTCGGTTCCGTTATCGCTTTGCAGATGGTTGATTTTATGCCGCTGCCTTAGCTGAACTCTTTCAATAATTCGTTCCATTGCGTGTGCTGTTTCGAGTCCGGTCTTATTCATAAGCGGTTCGGCATAGGCCATCTTTGAAAATACATCAATGACAATTAAAATGTATCTATGACCTCGATTCTCCTTTGCATATGGCTGCATTTCGATGAGATCAGCCTGCAGGGTGTCGGCGATCCCGTACATCGTAATCTTACGACGTTGAAAATTTTTTCGTGCATAGCGGTGAATTTCTCGAACAACTTGTTGCTTACTCATAGCTTTTGTCTACTCTTACGCGATACTCCTACGAATGTCATTTTGATGTATATGCAATTGGAATTTATATTTTTCGTGTTACGATGCTGTCAAATGGTGAATATGTAAATTCATTGTCGTATATGATGAGACAATAGGCTGCAGTATTAGCTGCTATTGCTTCTCTTGCTTTTATTTCAATTCGAATATCCACCGAACTGTCGATTAGAGACTCATCCGTGCGTGATGTGTCGAAAACAAACAATGGCGTATTCTGGAACGGTCCATAGCTAACATGGAATGGATTTGATATCTCTACACCACTGTAATAGGATGATTGTATGCTAGCATAATAATGATACAGTTCTGAATAGAGGCTTCCACCTATGTCGAGTTCGCTCATATTATATGGATAAATCTGTGAATTCATGTGTAAACGCACTTCTTGTATATTACAAGTGTCAAATTTAGCTGCATCTGCAGTCCGCACACCATTCCGACTCGTTTGAAAACCGACTACAACATATCTTGGTCTATTTGCATGCGATACGGTTTTAACTGCCCATATTTGACTTGTCGATGCGGGCAGTGCGGGATATTCCATCATATCCATTGAACGATGTTGTATTACCATTTTCCGATTCTTTGCTAGGTAGTTTAACATATTCAATTTTATGCGATCGGATAATATGACGTGAGGCATTTTCCATTCAATCTTTAGCAATGCTATATCAACTGTAGCGGCTGTGGCCGCTTCGCCGCCACCTTTGGTACAGTCACGACTGTTTCGAGCTCGATTTAATATCAGCTCATGTTTGCTATTCAGAATGATTTTTCTGTAATCGTCACAAAATCCAAACCAAACGCTCAATGGTATTACAACATCATATACTTTTGTTCTAGGAGCATCGGCTTTATACGGTGAAACTTCTTCGTATGTTTTACAATAGTTGGCATATCCCTTTAAATGCGAAAAGCGTGATGCTACCATTAGTTTCATTGTTGTCGCTCGTCCAACATTTCTAACGCGATCAATTTCAACGCCATTGAGTTCATAACGTACATCACTAAATAGAAACGATGCATAGTTGTTGATAAATTTTACATCTGGATCATTGGCAGCAGTTGCTCCCGTAGATGTAGCACGTATTTGCATATAAATATATGATTCACTAGGTAGCAAGTATGAGTCTTTACTTTGAATAGCGATTCGAATCTCATCAGATTCACCAAATGCTGTGGTGTACGGTGTGTATGGGTAAATCTCCTTCTTTATGATCGTATCATCGTAGACGGCTGTCTTGTCAATGCTAAGAATGTTATTTCCCGCCATTTTTTATTATTTTATTTTATTTTCTCTTAATGCTTTTTAACTCGAAAACCTAATTTTCTCAAGAATTTCACGTTTTTCACTTTGAGAGTCTTTACGCTGCGTTTCTTTTTACTCTTGCGCGATGATGTACGTTTTCGTGTTGTGCGCTTTGATGACAATCTCCGAATACTCTTTTGTTTTCGTTTGCTTCCACTTTTATAGCCTATAGCTGATCCAGCTGTGCTATTGCCACTATCGGTGTAAATTATCATTATGCTGCTACTTCAAAATTGTTCACTTTCTTGATATGAATTCGACAGCTGATTTGCTCTCCACGGAAATCAATCAGATTGCCGTTCTGGTCGACAATAGAAATTTGAATGCTTCGTAATCGCCTCTCCTCAATTGGTAGATAAATAATGTGCTGTGGAACTTCGATGAATTTATAGCCTGGGCTCACTTTACAATTGGAAAATTGATGAATCGTGTGACAATTTTTTCCGTTTATATAGGAACCAGATACAATGTCGCACTCAATTCGTATTACATCAATTTGTGTAATCTTAACAATACTATCGCTCCAGTAGCCAACGTTTTTATCAAATTTTGGTGAACTCTCTCTCCTAAATCCAATTACATTCAACACTGATCCGTCAGTCCACTCGATTTGTGTATTGAATGTTATGCGTACTTTTGATGCTCCTACACTGATTTCATATGTTAAATTGATTTGAACAGCGGCAAGTTCAGCCTTTAAATACTTGAGAATTTCCTCAACCTCATACGAACCCGTAGGGAATGAGATTGTTTTATCTCTCCACGTTGAAACTGTAGTTAATTTTCCTACGTTGTCTTTCTTCTTCTCCTCTACTTTATATTTGAATTTGAACTGGTTGTTTTGATTTTCTGTGATGTTTGGTATTGAATTGTATGAAGTAAAATCCAACAGTCCACAGCAATAATTGCTGTTTGAATCAAGCCTTATTTCAGGGAAAAAATCTGCCCGCAGCACTGATGACGTGCCAGTAAAAGCGACTGTGAGCGATGTCATAGCCCGTGATTAACTGACATGGTTATAGTGATGATCAAGTTTTTATATATGTTTTCTTTCTTTCTTTATGCCAAAAATCACGCAAAAACCTTAAACATAAATGTCCACAAATGGTAGTTCCAAAGTTCTGATATCTTTTTGCGTTAAAATAAAGATTGACACCATCGCCGCCCAAATAGTTGAGAACTTCAAACGGCGGTGCTAATTTTCCAAAACTATCAAAGTATAGTACTGTATTATAATTTTTAGCTAGCGCGGTCCAATGCGTGCCATTTGTGTTTGATTTTCCATGGTTAAGAATCCAACATTCACGTACTGCTGGTCCCACCTTTTTCGTCAAAGTGTCACGCATGAAAACACCATGAAAGTGGGGGATTTTCAGTTTTGCGGCCAAGTCCAAAATATCATAATTACTCAATGGCTCAATATACTTTTCTTTCTTGGGCTGATGTTGTCTACGTCGACGATGTCGTTGTTTCATGATTGTGGTATTTATCTAACGCAATTGCTGGTGTGGTTTCAAATAAAATCCAGATCCTATCGCATTTTTACCCGGTTTATATATTAATTTTAGTCCACGCCCAATTTTCATTTCTCCATCCATATTATGCTGGCCCGATGCAAGCTGCTTCTTTGCAGTCTGAATATCTTTGAGGGCTTTCACGACTCCAAGAGTCGACGCGGTAATAGAACCAATGGCACTTAATCCGCTTAATATAGGTAAAATTGCTTGAATACCTTCTCCAAATTTCGGTAGTTTTAATACTCTTGGAATTTTAACTTTTTTTCCGCGCTTTATATTTTTAGCAGTTTGAATAGCTGCCTTAATGGTCCCATACAATGATGGATCATTGATATTATCATTCGTTTTCCTCTTTTTAATGATTTCCTTTATACCGTGAGTCAGTTCGTTGAATGCGATCGATTTTCGTGTCTTTGCTCGTTTTCCACGATTTTTCTTCTTCTTCATCTTTCTACGAGTCTTCTTACGTTCACCAAGACCCAAGCCAATTTTAGTCAAACCAACTTTTGCGCTCATAAGACCCGATACTAAAAGTGCTGCTGCACGTTCGTCCAGTTTGGCGTCTCCCGAAATAATGCGCTTAAATGCTCGTCCAATCAACACTTTATCTGCCTTACGACGACTTTTCGTATCTTCACATGTTGCATACGCAATATCATGGTCTCTGCATGCTACATCCAATTTATTTTTCCCCGGATCGCCGCGTGCTAAACGTTCTTTTAATTTAGTTCCAGGTCCGGCGTATTGGTATGTGCATAAATGAATCTCAGGCAATTTGTTTATAATGGTGTCTATTATGCCATATGTTTGCTTCTTCTTCTTCTTTTTTATTTTCTCTCTTTTTTCCTCCTCTCTTTTCTCTTCTATTTCCTCTTCTCTTTCCTCTTTGTTGCTATCGATCGTCTCCATTTTTGTTTTTCGTTAGTAGATACACCCTATTCACTCTAAATTCCAATAACAATTGAAGATTATCATATATAAATGCGCATATTTATATGCATTTCAATTCAGTTGTAAACAAGATGCGCTTCATAAAACAAACACTCGAAATTCCAGTTCGGAATAATGACACTCACACATCTCCCCACAATAACACTCCAAAGAGACATGGCGATCTTTTGCCAAACAATCTGAGATGTATTTGCGCGGGAAGCAGCGGCACGGGCAAAACTAACGCCATCTTAAGTTTAATTGAGAGCGAGAATGGATTAAAATTTGAAAACTTGTATATTTACTGTAAAACGCTAGACCAAGACAAATACAAGTATTTAGAAGAAGTATTACGACCATTAACGGACATTGGGTTTTATACATTTACTTCATCAGATAGTGTGCTAGATCCAAGTCAAATGGAAAAGAATTCCATTGTTATATTTGACGATGTGATCAACGATAGTGGAATTAATAGAGGTGTAGTTCGTAATATTTTCACAATGGGCCGACATCGAAGCATTGACGTCATATATTTAGTGCAGAGCTACACCAAACTTAACAAGCATTTGATTCGCGATAATTGTAATTTCGTTATGCTGTTTCGACAAGACGATATGAATCTCAAGCATGTCTATAACGATATGGGCGTTAACGCTGACATGAAATTTGAAGAATTCCGACAATTTTGTTTCGAGTGTTGGCGAGAACCATATGGCTTTGCATGCATTTCAATCGAACATCCGAAAGAGTCGGGCCGCTATCGAAAAAACTTTGAGCATTATCTCCAATTATGAAGCAACAATAACATATATAAAAAGAGGTGAATGATCGAGAGCATTCTAGTATCTCATTACCATTAGATGGGAACATACATTCTCGCCTTTCTCATTCAAAAATGAGCTTGAATATTACGGACGCATCTGCATCATTATCGCAGGCTCAGATCTTGGCAAAGCTAACTGAAACGCGAAACATCATCAAAAACAAATACAGGAAGGCATACTCAGATCGCATAACTCGTGAACGCAATGTAAGCGAACTACTCAAACCCATCACAAATGAGCTTAAGCAAACGAAAGAGAGTTTCATAAAAGCAGAACCACCAACAACTACATTCAGACCGAAGCGATTGTTTGCATCAACACCGAAAGGGATTCTCCGTACAACGCTACGTGGGAGTGGTCGAAAAGCGCGCTTTAGAACAAATAAGAGTGATATCGACGATGATGCCTCTAGTTTTCATACAGTCATAAATGATGATGATGACGTTAGCGATATAATCAAACCTGCAACACCGGCAACAGCATCAACATCAAAACAATTTGATGATGACGATGACCCCAACAGATTTACATATGAACCAATCCTTGATAATATGCGAGTTGATGAGTATGATAAATCACCAGATCCTAATGCTAAAGTGTATGGAGTAAAAACCAACAAGTCGACCGGATTCACGATGCAATTTGCGACGCCATTTGGTAATTTACCAAAATCAGTACAACAGCAATGGCGTGAACGGAGACTTAAAATTTCAGATTCGTGGAGACATAGTCCGACCCAATATAATGAAACCACTTCTGATGATGATGATGATAATAATAAAACGCCCAAAACACAATCAGGAAGATCAGTACAAACTCGAAGCGAAAGAAAAAAAGCTCTATCGAAAAAAAAGTCAACACCAAAACGTGGGAAAGCTCTGGATTTCAACTTTATTCCATACAACATAAACAATAACATCATTTACGAATACTTTGACGATCCGAACGAGCTCTGCGATCGACTGCGTTTATTGGTCTCATCTAGAATGGCCGGAAACACCAATCACATGCAAGAAATAAACTCCATCATTGAGGAATTACGAGAGCTGGACTGCATCGCTTAAATTTAAGTTTTTACCATAAGTAGTTTTGATTTCATCGTGAGCAGACGTATTTTTTCAGCTATTAGCAGTTTAGTTTTTTGATTTCACTATGTCAAGAGTTATAAGAAAAAGTAGTTTTTCAGCGATTATTAACGCTATTCTTAGTTTATTTGAACCGGATGATGGTGGTTTTTACTACAATTATACTAATTTTATTGCCGATCATTACCGCAATCATCGTGTTGCTATGATGGATGTTTACGAGACAAGCCTACAAGTTGGCGATAGTTGCAGTTTTCACTCGTGGCTTTGGATGGAATTAGAATTATTTTTCGAAGATTTTGCTCGAAATTTCTTAACCAACGATGCGACGATTGACTCAACAAGAAGAGCTATGCTGCATGAAATCAATAAAAAGTGTAAAACTAAAAAATTCCGACGAGAAATAGCGCTACATATCTACTTAAAACTAGAAAATATGCATTGGTCAACTTTTAATACTTCTGAATGTCGAGAAGCAGTTTTAAATATTATTACGGAACACATTCCATATTTGTTTGGAATTGTGTAAATTTTATCATCGTTTTTAATTTGAAGTTATAACATAATCATTTTGACGGTTGTCGTGAACAGACGTACTTTTTATT